TGCTGACAACACCAAGTCAAGGGTTAAGATCGCCTTACTGGTCATCTTTAAAAAAAAAAAAAGAAAAGAAAAGAAACATAAAAGGGGCAGCGAATTAAATGCCATTGCCCTCATTTATGCTCCTGGAAGAGTCCTAATGACTTCAGGTTATCCCCTCACTACCCCATGGGGCCTCATTGAGATAACAGGATTTGCAAGGAATGTATCTGGGAGATGCAAGGCTATACCCTCTCTCTCCCAATCCATTAAGTCAGGACTAAGGTTTCCTCTGTAAATCCTGAATGCATTAATGGCAACTGGGTTGTGGGTCAAATGTCAGATACTAGGCTGTGATGGGAGAGGACATCTGTGGCTAATTAGACCACTAATTAGCTAAACTGGGATGGGGAAGGGCAGGATCTGCCCTCTCAGCTCTGCACCAGTGAGAAGCCATCTCCCTATCCAGGTTCTACCTCCATGAAGGGGGATGAAAGACAATGAGAAGGTTTGTTTGCATTAGGGGCAAGGCATCCTGCCCCATCTTCCCCAGTTCAGCATAAGGCAGGACATTGCCTCAGGAACTAGCCCTGCTTTTATCAGGACAGTCGAAGTGGGCCAGTGGCCAGATTTCTACCTCTTCTGCTTACTATAAATTTAATCCTTTACTTTGGGCATATGAGTTACACACCCACAGAAACCCATCTAGTTTTTTTCCTGCCTTCAGCTAATTTCTTGAGTGACTCACAGTTTGTATGAAGATGTTCAAAGGCCCTAATTAATACTTAGATGGGGGGAAATTATCCAATGATTAATTTATTATCGCATTTGACAGATACTTATTGAGTATCTGCTATATGCACGTCATGGTGCCAAGCACCATGCAGCCCCCAAAGACCAGTTAGATGATCCTTGCTTAGATCAGCAATATGGTCTTGCCTCGCTTATCGTCTAGCAGTATCATATCGTGAGGTTTATAAGCATTAACTACAATATGAGGGAAGCTGTGAGATGGCCAAAAAATGGATACAAACAACGCATCAAGAATTCCAAGATGGGAAAGAGTATTTATGATCTAGAGAATTTTAGAAAGCTGGAGGAGGAGGTGCCTTTTGACCTGGACCTTGTCAGATGGGGAGAATTGCAATAGGTAGAGATGAGATTGGGAACTTATTTGAGGAGAAAAGCAGAAATAAAGACAGGGAGGGAATCTATGGACATGTTTTTAGCGAAATGGTGGCATCCACATTGTAGCATATTGTCTGTCTGAGGTAGGCGGCCTCCTGGCTGAGACCCTCACTTTCCCCTTGCTTTGCAGATCAATGAGCTGAGCAATGTCCCTGTCCCTGTCATGCTAATGCCAGATGACTTCAAAGCCTACAGCAAGATCAAGGTGGACAATCATCTCTTCAATAAGTAAGTTGTCTACTGAGTGGGCTCAGGTTTTGTGGGCAGTCCTTTCTGTCAAGTCAGAGAGCTTCTGAAGTGTCGTACATGGCAGGGGTCAAGCTGGCACCTGGCAGGGTGTGACAGCAACACCTGGATCCCAGAGCTGACAAACTAGCTGGGAAAATGTGTTCATTATGTGCCTCTCTCCCTCTCATTGTCATCTCACTCCCTTCTCAGCCTACCTCCCGTGTCCCTCGGGACATGTGGCTGGGCCCAGGGTGATTCATCTATGGCCAGCTCAGGTAGAAGTGAGCTGCTCAGGAGTTGAGGCATGTGGTGTGAGGCTGCGGCTGTGGCCGTATCTTGATCTTCGTCTGAGGCAGGAAGCTGCGAGGCGTGTTCCTGGCCTGGGATGCAGTCAAGCCCTTTTCTCTCCAACTGGTGTGTGAACAACAGGTTGAGCATGGTGCTCAAGGGCACTTGCTACCTGAATAACTCTTCCCATTTTCGTCTGTTGTGGCTTCTTGGATTCACACCAGTGTCTGGAGATTGTTCCGGACGTTGTTGGAGACACTCCAGCAGCCATCTCACCTGGCACAGTCTGAACTTGAGCATGGTGCTCAAGGGCACTTGCTACCTGAATAACTCTTCCCATTTTCGTCTGTTGTGGCTTCTTGGATTCACACCAGTGTCGAGATTGTTCCGGACGTTGTTGGAGACACTCCAGCAGCCATCTCACCTGGCACAGTCTGAACCTGCTCCAAGCCTTTTGGAGGCCTTGCCTTTTTATCCCACTGTGGGGTCACCCCAGGAACTGTTTGCTGCTCACACTGTCCTCCTTTCTGTGTGTGAATCCTGGTTCCATTCTCCATTGTCCCATAGTCCGCATCACCTCACCAGCTGGGCTCTGTCACCCACCATTCTCAGACTTAGCCCAGACGAAAAGACCTTTAGTGGCCTTTCTCTGCCATAGTAAGTAATAACATCTTGTTCTAGAAGCCATCTGACTCCATAGGAGCCACCTGCAAAGTGGCCACCTGAGGAAGGAGAGGCAGCCCTCAACTCAGAGGCAGGAAAGAAGGTGTTTCTGTCCCAGAGGTCAGGGTTCTGGAAATGGGCGTTGCACCACCAGCCAAGTGGCCCATGGTCTCTGGTGAAGTTCCACCACCTTGACATCTTGGTCAAAAGCGCACCCATTCTCTTATCTTTATTCCTTTTGCCCTTTCAACAACCATTCATATGCTATTAGACTGCAGTGCTGTTTACTAGAACATAGGGTAAGTAAGGCAGACTAGGCCTCTTCAGGAGAAGCCATTCCTTTTTATTTCCTTGAAGCCTGTCATCCTGGCGTAGTCAGAGGGACATATTTCTGAAAGGGAGTTCCTAGGCAGAGTGGCTATTGTAAAGATGGAGGATTGATAGCCGTCATTTCAAGGGGATTCTCCTTCTGGGAGTCCGTGGATTGACTAAGGGATTGGTGCCAGCAGTCAGCAAGCAAGGCTCTATGAAAAGACGGGGTCCCAGTCAATTGGCTGAGGACCTCTTCAGTCTTAAGCACCCGCTTTCTACATCTCAGTTGAAGCCCAGGGCAGGGCTTCCTGAATATAACCATCTTCAGGATGTTTTGATAGGATCATCCCCAGAGGAGAGGGACCATTTGATGAGAAAGGTCTTTCCTGATGGCAGTCAGGATGATGTTCACCTCACGGCAGATGCTCACTCGTGGCCACACACCTGTAGCACGTGTAGCGCTTGTGAGTGGAGCCTGTGTTCAGTTTCACTGCCCAGTGGGTAAGATTTTTTTTTTTCCTTTAATGTTTTATTGAAGGACAACATACACAGAGAAAAGTGCACAAATTATAAGTATACAAGTGAACACAGAGATGTAACATTTTAAACTTTTACATGCTCAGAATCACCTGGAGTGCTTGTTAAAAATGCAGATTTCCAGACTCACCTCCAGAATTCCTGGGGCCTAGAAACCCACATTTTAAACATGGCAGATTGTTCAGATCCAGGTGATCTGTGGACCACATTTTGAGGAGTTCTAATGTGAGAATTAAGACAAGCAAGGGGCAGTTCACAAATACATGTCTCTGCTTTTCCCTAGGGAGAACCTCCCCAGCCGCTTTAAGTTTAAGGAGTACTGCCCCATGGTGTTCCGAAATCTCCGGGAGAGGTTTGGGATTGATGATCAGGATTACCAGGTATGGGGGGTCTTGGCAAAATCAGAGAGCTCAGGAGTGGAGTGGGGTCAGGAAGCCACAGGACAAGTAAAGGAAAAAAAGTGTCAGCTGATCTTGTGCTTTGTCTCCCTGTCTTGTCTCGCTCCAGCCCAGGCAGTCTCTCTCCCAGTACTGGGGGGCTCTTGGAGGGGTGAGGGCCTTAGAAGTGCTTCTCAGGATGCCTCACAGGCTCAGACTCCTTTCCCTGGGAGGGAGAACAGCAGGAGGGAGAGGGGTCTATGGAAGCTGCTTCATCTTAGTCTGACATTGCCAGTCTAGGCTGAAGAACCCTTCTCCTTTGTAGTTTGACTTAAAAGAGAGAATTGTTGTCAGTGAGAGATGAGGCCTCTTAAAGCAGATAAGACAGGTTAGAAAATAACGACTACAAGGGTAGTGTAACCTCTTGTCGGGTATAGAGTGTCACTTTCTAAACTTGCCCCCTGTCCTGTTGGTGCGAAGGGTGGTAAGCGTGGCATGGCAGCTGCCCCCTAAAGGGAGTGATAATGTCATAGAGACTGTTGGCCTATGGGGAAGAATCAATCCCAATGTCAGGGACATTATAGTCTGACTCATGGTCCATGGTTTTGTCACTTCTTCACAAGCACCTATCCTTGGGCTTTCTTCCCCCGGCAGCCAGCCAGCCTAGTGGTATAGTGGGATAATTTCCACTTCCCTGCGTAGCAGAGTGAGGAATATAGCAGACTTTCAATCGTCTGTGGGGGAAAGGGAGTATAGAGCATAGTGAAATCTAAAATGGATTCCCAGATCTTTTAAGACATTGTAGTTCCTGCCACCCCACTCCGGTAAGCCTTTCACGGAGTAGTCCACAGAAGCACAGTGGGCCTCAGGTGAGAGTCTCTCCCACCTCTCTCCTCCACTCTGGAGGGCCTGCATGCAAAAGAAATATCCTGAGGAAGAGGGTGAGGGGATGTGAGAGGAGGAAGAGATGCTGGGGGCTCGAATGCCCAGGAGTGCCCACATCTTAGAGGTACGGGGAGGTCCCTCCAGCCCTCTCTGTTAGGACGGAACCCTGAACTAAATCAGGACCTGATTGGAGCTTGAGGTTTTCTGAAAACTTCTTGCCACTTTCAACCCCCAGTTGCTCAGATGTCTTCCCTCCACTGTGGCTCCTTTCCGTACCCTCAGCTGTCTAACCACATCCTCTCAGTGTCTGCATTTTTGCCTCTGATAGCCTCGTGGGCACATGACTGTGCTCAAGACTGAAATGAGGACAGGGAAGATGGTGTTCAGGGAGGGGACTCTATATATTCTTGGACTACCGTGATTTAGAGTCAGAAGATGCTGCCTGGAAATGAGACAGAGACAGAGCTCCCAACTGGGCTTAAACTTACTGGTAGAAGGGCCAGGCTGGCAGAGAGAGGCACTCAGTCACGTAGTCTACTCAACATTTCTGGATTGGAGGCCGGCCCGCGGCTCACTCGGGAGAGTGCGGTGCTGATAACACCAAGGCCACGGGTTCGGATCCTATATAGGGATGGCCGGTTGCTCACTGGCTGAGCGTGGTGCTGACAACACCAAGTCAAGGGTTGAGATCCCCTTACCGGTCATCTTTTAAAAAAAAAACAAAACATTCTGGATTGGGGGGCACGCTGTTTTGGGGGAGTTGCTCCTTTCATTTAGCACCTTTGCGGAGGAACTCCCAGAGTCCCTTATCACTTCCATCTTTAGTTTCTCTGTGAAGGTGGTGCCCCCTCCTCCATGAGGGTTGTATGAGGAGGCATTAGGCGAAGGTAAAGAGTAGGCTCCTTAGTGAGGGCTGGGGAAAGGGCTTGGAGAAGAGGTGTTTCTGTGAGCAGATCACCATGCATGTTTTCTTGGGAACAGGGACACCTGGGACCCCTTGCCTCCCAAAGGTCTTCTCCCGGCGTCAGCTTGGTGAACACATCTCTTTGGTTGACTCACACCTTCCCCCACCTTCCCTCTTGAGGCGTCTACTGGCCTTTGATCCTAATGGGAGTGAGGCCTTGAAGAGAAACAGGGTTTGAGTCAGAAAAGCACCCCAGAACTGCCTCCCAGCCCTGCACAGGCAAGCAAGAGGCTGAGGTGCGGGAAAGGTGTCAGGCAGAGAGAGGAGGATGAGCTTCCTGCTGTGGGAAGGGTTTTTCAGCATCAGAGTAAATACAGGGAAGAGAGAAGACTGTGGTCATCATTGCTGTTTTTTTTGTTTTTTTTTTTAGCAGCTGGCTGGTATAGGGATGAAACCCTGACCTTGGTGTTGTCAGCACCACGCTCTAACTGACTGAGCTCACCGGCCAGCTCTACTGCTTCTTTATGCTGGACTTCTTACATGTTTCCTAAGCTTTGTCTTTGTCACCCCAAAAGACTGGGAAAATCAGCTCAGTGTGCCTCCTTGTGTTCCAGATGAGGAAACTCAGGGGTAGAGAAGTTACATGGCTCACGCAAGGATTTATTGCATGTGAGGGTCAGGATTACAACCCAGGCTCTAACATCTGAGGCAGAGTTTTAGTTTGCAGGGTAGCTCTCTAGGATTAAAGTCAAAGGAAACTCTTTCACAGTCAGTCTTCTTCCCATCCTAGTCTGGGAGGAAGGACGGGTGGTGAGGAACAGCTCTTGTCACTTTGGAGGAAGATTTTATGGAGGGACCGGAACAGCCCATGAGAAAGGGGTTAGGTAAGGTCTCGTTTGGGAGTTCCTCTTTCGATGTTGTTGGCTTTCGAGCAACACAGCCCATAAGAGAAGACTCAGAAGTCAGAATCCTTGGTCCCCTCGCAAGCCTCGCCTGCTTTTGTCTCGGTTCCTCAGAACTCAGTGACGCGCAGTGCCCCCATCAACAGTGACAGCCAGGGCCGGTGCGGCACACGTTTCCTCACCACCTACGACCGGCGATTTGTCATCAAGACTGTGTCGAGTGAGGACGTGGCCGAGATGCACAACATATTAAAGAAATACCACCAGGTATGGCGGGTCCCAAGCCTGGGTCGTAGAGGACAGATGGGAAGAGAGAGAAGAGAGGCCTGGAGGAGCTTTGCAGGGAGGGATTGGTCCTCTCTGATCATGGCAGATGCTTCCTGATAACCAAGCAGGGGGTGCTGTCCTACAGCCACGTAGGTGAAATGCCTACTTTAAAATAGAAAAAAGGAGACAATGAGGCACAGGGCTGACTCAGTCCTGGCTGGGAAGTTTTCACAGTCTGGCATCTGCCTCATTTCTTCAGAAAGAGGGCCCATCAGCGTAGCAGGGTTGGTTCCTTTCCTGTTCTGTCTCTCCACTCATCTGGAACCTGTCCCTATGTGCTGTGGAATCATCTGAGTGCCTGTCCTCAGCCTGCTTGGGTCTTCATTTTCGGGTACATGAGAAGTGGTGAAGGAAACTTCTGGTCTTTTGGGAGTTACAGGAGAAACCCTGAGGCATGGCGTGGGTACGAGCTTTGGGTATGGAGCCACCTATTCTCCTGGACAGCTGGATCCCAGCCCTGCCTCCCCTCTCTGCCCTGTGGTTTTCCCCTATCAGATGGGCAGAAGAGATGCAAGGCATGGGCCTGTGATTTTCCTGCTGTGGAATCTTATTTCAACAAAATGTTAGGAGAAGCCCCAATAATATGAACCCGAAGGGGCTCAGCACTGCCTGCTCTGCTCTCCTCTCACTCTGCCATGCCAACTGGAGCAGGGTGGCAGTTGCCTTTTGTGAGTCTAAGGAACTCCTCTAACTTGACAGAACCTGACTGGAAAACCACTAGTCTGAAGGTTAGAATCCCAAGGAGCCAGGGAGCGTGCCAGCCTGGGGAGAACCCCATCCGCCCCGGGCACCTTTCTCTTCCTCAGCCTTCTTGCTTTCCTCCTTTCCGTTCTAGTTCATAGTGGAGTGCCACGGCAACAGCCTTCTGCCACAGTTCCTGGGCATGTACCGCCTGACTGTGGATGGTGTGGAAACCTACATGGTGGTCACTAGGAATGTCTTCAGCCATCGTCTCACTGTACACCGCAAGTATGACCTCAAGGTAAAGGGCTCTGTGCTTCCCAGCACTGTGCTGCTCTCTGTTTGAGGCACGGAGGGACCACTGCTCCCGCTTCCACATAATTGGGAAAGCCAGAGCATATGTGTCGGCATGGACAGGTGACTGGAGTTGATGTGCCTAATTCTTGTGTACCACAGGCTGTTTGAAGGCCAGGTGACAGTAACAAGAGGCTATTTAAGCCCTAAATGTACCTTATTTATGTAACAATTGATGCTGTTCAACTCCTGTCTGTGGGATGTGCACATCTAGGGAAGCAGGGTGGGGACAGGCCATGCTGAAGCATGCACTCTGGCATCTGTCCAGGCCCCTGTGGAGTGACAGCACAAGTGCATTTCTAGACAACAAGAAAGACCCCTTTGTGGCTATGAACCAGGGTACTCTGTTGTTTTTGAATCTGGCTTCCTTGACTTCTGTTACCTTACACTGCTGTCCCTTCTCTCTGCTGCAGCTGTACTGGTTACTTTTGTGTTCCTGCAGTGCCTGTGCTTCTCATCCTCCAAGGATACCGCATATGCCGCCTAGAGTACTTTCTCTTCCAGCAGCCCTGCCCTTTTCTCCTCCTCCTCCTTCACCCACCTAATTGCTTCCTTCTTACTCTTCTGAGCTCAGCTCAAATACCACTTCTTCCAGGAAGTAGGCCACAGCCACTGCTCCTGCCTAGTCCAGGCCAGGCCTCTGTGTTACGTGCTCTTAGAGTGTTCTGTCTCCTCCGCTTAGCATGATTGTAATGAATGCATTAATGAATTGTATAGCCACTGCTTAATCTCCGTCTTCCCTGTTAGAAGGAAAGTTCCCTAAGGGCAGGGACTGAGTCTGTCCAGTGCAGTCCTGTCTGCTGAGCACCTAACATGTATCTTGTATACAGAGCCCTCTAACTGGGCTGTGACAGAGTAAGTGAACAAGTTGCTGCCTCCGGGCCCCTCCAGGATTCTAACCAGCCTACTTCAGTCCATCTGCTGGCTCTCCCCAAAGACTGATGCAGGTTTGCTCGCTCAGTGGAGTTTACCTCAGCTGGACTTCTCCTGACGGCTCTTATCCTTTCAGGGTTCCACTGTTGCCAGAGAAGCGAGTGACAAGGAGAAGGTATGTTGGTGCTGAGCAGTGTGGCAGGGTTGCTCGGAATTAGAAACACCTTCTGTTGGCCATTCTGTCCCTCCCCACTACAGCTCCTAGCCCCGTTCCCAGAATGCAGTCTGTCAACATGAAATGCTCTTTGTCACTGAGCTCCTGCCTGTCCTTGACCTAGGCCTAGGCCTTGGTCTCCATCCTTTCACCTCTGCCCTCATTGGCTTCTTCATAGTCCTGCTGGGATGGCAGACAACTTCCATCTCATAGTCCTGCCTGAGTCAATTAGTGGCTACCTGAGCCATGAGGTAGTCTCGGCTCAGCAAGAATCCTTTGGTCAGTCCTCATTGTCTGATATATGCCACATATTTGCCATCCCTGCCTACCCGAAGCCTGTGGCTGTAGATGCTTATACTGCTGGGGTTTTTTGTTTGTTTGTTTTTGGTGGCTGTATGGTGCAGGGATCCAGAGAAACAAGATTTACTTTGTTTTTGGATGGATGGCTGGTATGGGGATCCAAACCCTTGACGTGTTATAACACTGTGATTTAATCAACTGAGCTAACCAGCCAGCCCTCCTACACTGTTGACTTAGCAGGTTATGTATCTGTGTGCTAAAGACTCTTCCCCTTTCTGTACCATTGCCCTCAATGGAACAGTTCATTGCCCCTGGGGTGAATGAATCAGACCCACCCAGCCTAATATTGCTGTTGCTTTCCCAGGCCAAGGACTTGCCAACATTCAAAGACAATGACTTCCTCAACGAAGGGCAGAAGCTGCACGTGGGAGAGGAGAGTAAAAAGAACTTCCTGGAGAAACTAAAGCGGGATGTTGAGGTACTTACTAATCTTTGTTTTCACATTGGTTGGGTAGGCCCCTTCTGTACCCAGATGAGGAGGCTCTTTAGCCTTAAGAAAAATGGAATTCACTACTTTCCAAGAGTATAGACAAAAGGAAGGGTGGTGATTTGAGCAGTGTGGCCACTTATTTGCACTTAAAGCTAGTGCAAATGAACACTCCATTTGAGGGGGAACAGTTCGTGCTGCTAGAACCTTTGTAACTCAGTTTGGAATACTTTTCCCTCATCTCTTCACTAATCCATTCCAACACCTTCAAAGTCCCCTTCTGGTGGTGTCCCTACAGTGGAGGGGGCATCTGGCCATCAGAGCAGCAGGAAACCAACTGTGTAGATCCACCAACCAGGCTTTCCTCTGGCTCTGATTCCCCACTTGCCCAGCAGTCTCCTGGTTGTAATGGGACCTCCTATGGAGAAGTGCCACCAGGGGAGGACAGATGCTCAATAGTGAACATGTTATCTGGACCACTTGATAACTGTGTCTCTCTTTAAATAAGTGAGAGCCTGCTCATTAAAACCAAACCCCACAAACTAAAAACATTTTTTTATTTGGTAAAATATATATAATAATATTTGTCATCCTAACCATTTTTTTTTTTTTTTTTTTAAAAGATGACCGGTAAGGGGATCTTAACCCTCGACTTGGTGTTGTCAGCACCACGCTCAGCCAGTGAGTGAACCGGCCATCCCTATATGGGATCCGAACCCGGGGCCTCGGTGTTATCAGCACCACACTCTCCCGAGTGAGCCATGGGCCGGCCCCATCCTAACCATTTTTAAGTGTATAGTTCAGTGGCATTAAGTACATTCATCTTCCCCAACTGAAACTTTGTACCCATTAAACACCAACTCTCAATTCCTGCTTCCTTCTAGTCCCTGGCAACCAGTGTTCTACTTTCTGTCCCTATAAAGTTGATTACTCTAGGAACTTCCTATAAGTGGAATCATACAATATTTGTCCTTTTGTAACTGCCTTATTTCACTTAGCATAAAATCTTCAGTGTTCATCCATGTTGTAGCATATGTCAGAATTTCCTTTTTAAGGCTGAATAGTATTCCACGGTGTATTTAATACCACATGTATATCCATTCACCTGTTGATGGGCACTTGGTATATTAGGGTGCTCCAGAGAAACAGAACCAGTAGAGTGTAATGTACATCTCTCTGTATCGAGAGATTTATTATAAGGAATTGGCTCGCACAATTATGGAGCATGATAAGATGTTCGGTCAACAAGCTGGAGATACAAGGGGGGTTGAGCTGCTGTCTGGAGGCCGTCAGGCAGCAGGCATGAGGGGTTCCCTCTAACCTGCGGGGGGCTGCCCTTTGTTGTTCTATTCAGGCCTTCAACTGACTATATGAGGCCTACCCGCGTTAGCGGCAGCATTGACTTTACAGTCACTGATTCAAATGTTAATCTCACCCAGAAACACCCTCACAGACATACCCCAAAATTTGCTTGACCAAATGTCTGGGCACCCCATGGCCCAATCAAGTTGACACATGAAATCAATTGTCACACTTGGGTTGCTTCCACCTTTTAGCTGTTGTGAATAATGCTACTGTGAACATGGGTGTTAAAACTTCTTTTTGCCAGGAAGCTTGTATTTTTTTCTGAGTTACCCACAATTATGTTTATTCCATCATTCTGTCTTTCATACTCTGACATTTGGTTTGTCCTGAGTATTTCTTCTTCTCCCTTTTCTACCTCTCTCCCCACTCTGGTTCTGAGAGGAATTTAAGGCAATTTACTCAATTCATTTGTTTCAATGGATCTTTACAAGTTTTCTCAGGTGGATGGGGGCTGGTATTCATGGATTCTGTCTTCTTGGCCTTGAGAAGGCCTTGTCCAAAGGTGCTCAGAATAGCGCCCCTCCCACTTCTCCTCTACTGAGGAGATTCTGCTGATCTCCCATCACAAGGGCTCTGTGTGCTTTTAGTTGCTTTCTGGGCCTGTGCACAGAGCCACTCTGGTCCTATGATGATTCTCCTAGTCCCCTAGCAGAGTGGTCAGTTTCACAATTTCCTGGTGCTGCAGGCTCAATCTGTGACCATGGCAGAATTCCTAACATGAGGCTGATGGTGACTGGACTCTGGCCTCATTATTAGCTAAACTGGAATGCTGGTGGGCCATTCCATCCTGTATCATCCCACATTCTTTGTTCTTCTCCAAGTCATGAAATCCTAGGTGAAGAGACCTGAGACCCTGTCCTGCTCACAGCACTCATTCTACAGATGAGAAGACCGAGGCTTTTGTGAAGGGAGTCACACAGCGCAAGGGGAGGGTTCCAGCATTCTCCCCCGGCACTGCACAGCCGATTTTGACCTTCAGGGAAGGGGTTGAGAATATCGGTTGGCTCTGGCTGCCATTCTTATGTGGTGTTCCCTTTTCCCTCTCTCTCCATTTTTATCTTGACTGGTAAAGAAGCCGAATTGCATAGTTTTCATATTTTGCTTGTGACCCCCCCAGTTAGAAGTACATTTTACCTTGCAGCCCAACAACCTCTCTCTCCATTTTTATCTTGACTGGTAAAGAAGCCGAATTGCATAGTTTTTCATATTTTGCTTGTGACCCCCCCAGTTAGAAGTACATTTTACCTTGCAGCCCAACAAACACACACACACACACACACACACACACACACACAACTGAAACACCGTCTACCCTACTTTATGTTATGCACTCTGATATTTTCTATTCTACTGGGGTACTTCACAAAGTTCATGGAAAAATTGAATTGAAAGATAATACAAATCCTTCCATGAACTTTTTGAAGACCTCTCATATTTTGTCATGTTTAAGAATTTAAAAAGTCCTAGTCCCAGCCTACTACGTTGGGTTTAGGACTCATAATGGGTTGAGATTTGCAGTTTGACAGACACTGCTGTGTTGCCTCCTATCTCTCCAGCCTCTTCCACAGTGCAAAGTTCCGTTTTTGTTTTTTTTTTCCTCAGACCTGCTATGGACTCTTTTGACCCCAAACCATTTGGGGCCGTGAGCCTGGGGCCACCAGCAGTAACCGGGGTCACAGGGCTGTGCCCTCTTCCTGCAGTGCTTGTTCTACCTTTACTCCCACAGCTTTTGCCTGTCAGACTCTTCATCCTTTAGTCTCAGCCTCACCTCCTTTCCTCAGGGAAGGCCCTCTCAGCCACGGCTGTAGACCCCACAGCTCCTTGCCCCTGTTGAGTGACTGTCTTCCCTGTTAGACACTGAGCTCTCTGAGGGCAGAGACTCTGATGTCTTACTCTTTTATTGTATTTCAGAACTGTCTGTAGAACTGAGTTGAAAGGAATGCCTTTCCCCTCCTTTCCAGATGCCACTGGGATGTCCCAGGTAACCTCTTCTTCCTTCCATCTTTCCGCCCCTCGCCTCCCTAGTTCCTGGCCCAGCTGAAGATCATGGACTACAGTCTGCTGGTGGGCATCCATGATGTGGACCGGGCTGAGCAGGAGGAGATGGAGGTGGAGGAGCGGGCAGAGGATGAGGAGTGTGAGAACGACGGGGTGGGCAGCAGCCTGCTCTGCTCCTACGGCACACCTCCAGACAGCCCTGGCAACCTCCTCAGCTTTCCCCGGTTCTTTGGTCCTGGGGAATTCGACCCCTCTGTTGATGTCTACGCCATGAAAAGCCATGAGAGTAAGCAGGAGCCCGTGCCTGCCCGACCCAGCCCTGGCCCCCACCTCACCCACTTCAGCCCACTGTTGAGATACCCTGTGGGCATCTGGACTCCTCATTAATTACTGCCTTTGGCCTCTTTCTGCCTCCAGGCTCCTAATCGGGGTCACCACCAGGACCCAGCCCTGGCCCCCACCTCACCCACTTCAGCCCACTGTTGAGATACCCTGTGGGCATCTGGACTCATTAATTACTGCCTTTGGCCTCTTTCTGCCTCCAGGCTCCTAATCGGGGTCACCACCAGTAGCTGGGGCTCTGGGGTCCCTTCTCTGTCAGAACTTCCTTCCCCTCTCTGCTTATCCTGGTTGGTTGAGGCATGGTCCTGCTCTGGTTCATGGATGCACAGAACTTTATATATACTGTCATGTCAACCCCACAGGTAGCTGTGAAGATCACATAAGATAGGAACTATGGAAGCTTCTGAGGAGAATCCCAGTGGCCACTCCTTTCCTCAGCTCCAGCATGATAGGCATGGATCTGAACCTCATCTCTGAAGCATTGTGGGTGTGCCCCGGCTGCTTTTTGCTTTGTTCCCTGCCACTTCTTCCCACTTTTCTGCTTCCCCTCTCCCTTCAGGTGCCCCCAAGAAGGAGGTTTATTTCATGGCCATCATTGATATCCTTACACCATACGATGCTAAGAAGAAAGCTGCACATGCTGCTAAAACAGTGAAACACGGGGTGAGTTCTGTCTTCATCCGGGGCCCAGCTGGCAGCTGCCCTCACCCTCAGACCCCCAGGGAGGGTGGTCTCAGACCCTCTGTTCTAAGGAAACACTCTCCTGCTCCCTCCTTCCCAGGGCAGAGAACAGGAATAGCAGCCTTCCTGCCTGCCTTGTGTTCCCTGCCATCTGCACTGCACCCCCTTGCTGCCAGGCGGGTAATGTGCCCAACTTGATTTCCCCTCAGTTCTCTGGCCCTCGGGGCCCTGAGCCCGCCAGCTCCTTTTCCCCCAGGGCTGCTGGGCATGTTGTGCATCTTGTTGTATAGCCAGTAATAGCTTTGTTTACATGCTCACACCACTCCCCACAGGCCCATTTCCTCATGGACTTGAAGCGTCTGTTCACACTGAGGCCCCTGTGGAGATTTAGTGCCTCTACCACCTCCCCACCACCTTTCCTCTACTTCAGTGTGGGCTGAGGGCTATAAATCAGGGTGGAGTCAGGACACTCCTGAGATATGTGAACTACTTTTTGAGGTGGCTGCCCAGTCTAGGAAGTAGTATTCAGCTCTAGGGCTGAATAAGAGGCTCCTGAATACCCAGGCTCCTCCCAGGTGCAGCCTCCTGGTTAGGGCGGAGGAAGTCAACCTGAATTGGTCTCTTGTGTATTACAGGCAGGGGCCGAGATCTCGACTGTGAACCCTGAGCAGTACTCCAAACGCTTCAACGAGTTTATGTCCAACATCCTGACGTAGTTGCTTCTATCAGCCAGAGCCAGAGAGCTGGACATGTGGTCAGGGATCAGGAGAGGGAGAGGGTATATTTGGGCTAGAAGGGAGGGTGGGAAGCAGAGTGGGGGGTCGGGAGGGCTTTAGCAATGAGACTGCAGCCTGTGAAACTGAAAGAGACTCTAGCTGGGGAGGAGGGGACGTGCTGTGTGTGCACATGCTCACAGGATGTAACCTCACCTTCTGCTTACCCTTGATTTCTTTTTTGTCCCCATTTGACCCAGGTTAAAAAGGGGTTCCCTTTTTGGTACCTTGTAATCTTGTAAGATACCGTGGGGCTAGGCACGACTTTGTGGGTTTGAGTTTTGTTTCTGAAGTTTCATTGCTCCAGGTGTGCTATTTATAATGTTGTTTGTCATCACCCTATCCACCCTCCCCACCTCTGCCCAGCTCTCAGTTCCCTTCAACTAAAGAGGCACCCAGTAGACCCAGCACAAGGGTCCTCTTAGAGCAAAGCACTCCAACTCCAGAGAGGAGAGGAGGTCAGACACCTCAGCCGCGCTGCATTTGGTCTTGTCTGGATTAACTTTTTAATTTTATGGAGTACTGTGCACAACTTCTTCCACCTTTCAACCTTGGATTCAAGTGAAATGTTATATTATTCCTACATCCTGTCCTCCAGTACTGTCCTCCCAAAGGAACACTCCAGGCCAACACCAGACATCTTGGATCAGAATCAGAGATCTCAGAGGGAGTGTATTCATCCTCATGGGATGGTAAGGGCTGAGGAAGCTGCTGGGCTCTTGGACAGCTGGTTCTCAGAGAACCCCGTCATCATCACCCACGCCCCAGGCTCTGTCAGTCCCTGGAGTTCAGATGTCCTCTCTGTAAAGCCTGCCTCCCACTGGGTCAAGAGGAACTAGAAAGTACCTTTGGATATAACAGGACCCTCATGTTTAAATGGTTCTTTCCCTTTGGGAAAACCCCAGAAATTGACGAATATCCAATGAGGTCTTGTGCCCTCCATTTACTTTCTTCTGACCTCCTCCCAGGCACCTTCACTTGTAGCTGAGCTTTTAGCTGGAAGCAGATCTCCAGGCACCTGGGGTGCTCTTTGCAGAGATACCTCTTCAAGCCCCAGGACTACCATGTAGGTAATCTGGCTCCCTGTGCCTGTGGTTTGTCACTTGGACAGTTATAGCCAGCAAGGTGCTTCCCCACCTTGGAGTATGGCATCCAAGCCTGATGTTGCTTCTGAGTCACTTAAGATGTGACCCAGGAAATCCAATTTGGAGGCTTGATGTGGGGTTTGACCTGGCCCCAACCTTGGGGCTATTTTTCCATGTTGCCCTTCTCTAGACTTTTAGCAGATCTCCAGCCCACGGGCTTCTTTGGAAGGAGTGGCATCCTGCAGCTTCCTTCAGGTTTTCCACCCTCCTTCAGAGCCAGCTACCCAGGCTCTCAGAATCAAGCCACATGTGTCATTCTGATGCCGCCAGAGCAGTGTGGTTTGGCTAGGAGAGAAAACGGCCATGTTGCTCTGCAATGGAGGCGGGTACATTCCTGCGTCTTTTCACACACTCACTGAAGAGGAGCTGAGGATTTGGTATGAGATAGGGTGAAATTTATAGATAACCCCAAAGATGTGAAGATGGTTTGTAGAACCATTTTGAAAGAACAGGTTGGTTTCCTGTGGCTCCTTCCAAACCTAGCCAAGCTCAGCTTCTGGAGATGGAACCAGCCATGTCTCTGCGCCCCACAGCATTTAGGACTGGAAAAAAAGGAGATGGCATTCTTGGACTTTACTGGGGCTGTTGGATTGGATGGGAACTCTTCTAGAAGAGGAAGATGGGGGTCAAACCACTGCCCTGGCCCCAGGAAGGGGCCGTAGGTAGCTCTAAACAACAGCAAGACCACTGAGTGACTTGGGGAAGAACTTGGAACCAAGTGCTCATGGAGAAAACAAATTTGATTTAGGAAAGGGATTACGCATGAATAATGTTTGGATTTTATCTCCCCACCTCATAATCAAGAATGAAAATTTGGATCTGCTCCTAGTCAGGCCTACCATCTCCAAAGCTTGGAAGGCTGTCCTCCTACAGCTTCCACAGCCGTGGGCCCCTGTGGCTTCTCTGCATTTGGTCTGCTGATCATGATGCCATAATGTGTATGAAAAGTGTAACACAATCTTATCAGTTAAAGACTACCAGGTATCTAACTTGTTTAACATTGAGAGAGAGAGAGAGAGAGAGTAGAGTGTGTGTGTGTGTGTGTTTTGTTATTGTTTTGGTATATTGTTTACATTTGGAGAAGTAGCATTCTGTTTCAAATGCTCTTTTTGTTTTTCTGACAGTATTGTTGATTGGGTCAAAACATTTGAGCTGTGGTTTGGTGGATTTTAGGGTTTGTTTTTTTTAAAAGGTCATTCTCTGTGCTATCTTCAGAACCTTGCGTTTGGCCCTTTAATTCCTTTGGCATTCAGATGCTTAAAAACTATCTATCTTGGTTTATTCTTTCTCTTCTCTTCTTTTTGTAATGATAAGGATATGCTATTTGGTTTGCAGTCTGAATGTAGAGAAAGTGAACTGACTCTTTTAACCTTTTGTCTGCCTCCCTTATTTCTCCCTAAGTCCCACCACTCCCTTCTGGGCAGTAGAAGGCATTTGAGGGGAAGTGACTATCTTCAGCCTCAGTCCTTGGGGCCATGAAAAAAAGCTAAACAATCTTATTGCATCCCAGAATAATTTGAGGTCTCCCAAGAACAAAGGTGTAAGAATAAGGGACATGGCTGATGGGTGAGGCCTGGATGGGGATAAGGGAAGAACTCATCTCCGTTGCCTCGTTCTGCCAGTTACAGGGTAGCATCTAGTCACAATTCCTGTCCCCACCCCTCTCCTTCCAAAAGTCTACAGTTGAGAAACTGGTCTTCCAGCCAAAGTGAGGAGTGATCTGAAAACTCCACTAGAAGATCCCTAGACGAAGGCCTCTGGCCCTTATTCCTGCTAATTAAGCACCGGGTCTGTGTCCCCCCATCACAAGCTCCTTCCCTGTGCCCTCTGGTTTGGGGGTTGCAAGGCATGCCAGGAAGCCAGCAGTTCCAGGAGCACAGACTGAAGCAGTGCTCTTCTCAAAGGAACACTCCAGGCCAACACCAGACATCTTGGATCAGAATCAGAGATCTCAGAGGGAGTGTATTCATCCTCATGGGATGGTAAGAGTAGAGTGTGTGTGTGTGTGTGTGTGTGTGTGTGTGTGTGTGTGTGTGTGTGTGTGTGTGTTGTTATTGTTTTGGTATATTGTTTACATTTGGAGAAGTAGCATTCTGTTTCAAATGCTCTTTTTGTTTTTCTGACAGTATTGTTGATTGGGTCAAAACATTTGAGCTGTGGTTTGGTGGATTTTAGGGTTTGTTTTTTTTAAAAGGTCATTCTCTGTGCTATCTTCAGAACCTTGCGTTTGGCCCTTTAATTCCTTTGGCATTCAGATGCTTAAAAACTATCTATCTTGGTTTATTCTTTCTCTTCTCTTCTTTTTGTAATGATAAGGATATGCTATTTGGTTTGCAGTCTGAATGTAGAGAAAGTGAACTGACTCTTTTAACCTTTTGTCTGCCTCCCTTATTTCTCCCTAAGTCCCACCACTCCCTTCTGGGCAGTAGAAGGCATTTGAGGGGAAGTGACTATCTTCAGCCTCAGTCCTTGGGGCCATGAAAAAAAGCTAAACAATCTTATTGCATCCCAGAATAATTTGAGGTCTCCCAAGAACAAAGGTGTAAGAATAAGGGACATGGCTGATGGGTGAGGCCTGGATGGGGATAAGGGAAGAACTCATCTCCGTTGCCTCGTTCTGCCAGTTACAGGGTAGCATCTAGTCACAATTCCTGTCCCCACCCCTCTCCTTCCAAAAGTCTACAGTTGAGAAACTGGTCTTCCAGCCAAAGTGAGGAGTGATCTGAAAACTCCACTAGAAGATCCCTAGACGAAGGCCTCTGGCCCTTATTCCTGCTAATTAAGCACCGGGTCTGTGTCCCCCCATCACAAGCTCCTTCCCTGTGCCCTCTGGTTTGGGGGTTGCAAGGCATGCCAGGAAGCCAGCAGTTCCAGGAGCACAGACTGAAGCAGTGCTCTTCTCTCCTTATCTAGCTCAGGGGTTATTGGTCTGTGGCAGGCACTATGAGTTGCCCTATGGGTATTCTCGGTAGCACTTTCTAAGTTCCCACCACAAGTAGCTCTTTCTCCCCCACGCTTTCCTTTTTTCTCTTGCCTGTGCTTTAGGCCTCAAACAGGTCTCCTGGCAGTGCTCAGGGCATGAGAGACCAGACTCCTGCCTTGGTGACTTTCCCCTCTTCAGTCTGCCAGGGCCTGCCCTCGGGAAGTGGGCCAAAGACCTCGGACTTTTCTCAGTAGCCAATCCCACCCACAGTTATCTTTTTACCAGTTCAGGTTGGGAGAGAGAAAAAAACTTCAATATTCTAGCATTTGAGCTATTCAATTGTTGGGGGCCAGAAGGGACAGTGTATTTAAATAACTCTCAGAACTCTGGCCTTAAACCTGTGGCTCCCACCAAGTCTAGAGACCTCACTTATTTCTGGCAGTAATGTGGGGTGGGGGTCCTTAAAGGGAAAACACATTCAGATGACTGTCCCCAGATCAGCTATCTTCAGGACGCAGTAACATAGCCCTGGTTCTCCTCTGAGATTGCCACTTATGACGAGTGCCCCCAAAGGGAAAAGGAGACTCAGCTGTCCCTCAACAGGTTGTACTGAGAACCCAGGAAGGAGGCTGGGGAGGAAACTTCTACAGGAGCCCCTTGTCCTTTCTAAGAGCCATTTTGTGAGGCGGTGGGAGCCCAACACCTTTGGGGAGATGTCCAGTGCTGCTGAGCACACCCCAGCATCAGGTCAGATTATTGTAATAAAAAAATGTGAATGAAGTTTAGATTCAAGTTTTGGGGAAGCAGGATAAACTACCACCCCACCATATGTGTGTGACTTCTAGATTTCCCACTGCAATTTCCATTTTTTAAATAGGAATTTTCAACCCTCTGTGCTTGTTGTCTGCTCTAAACAGTTCAAGATGCTGTTAACTGTTTTAAAATGCATGCATGTTACGAAGAATCTCCAACCTGAGGAAAAAAATAAAACTCCAAAAGCTTTGTGTACATCTTTTCTGTGTGAGTCCTTTGGAAATTAGCCTTTTTTTCCACCCCCAGAATTAAAAGGTTTGGTACTAATTTTAGAGGCAGATTGGGCTAAATCAATGTTTGGCTTGAGTTTGGAGAATGTGGTCAGTGACATCCCATTTTCAGATGCCCCTAATAAGCAGAGTGCAGCACCAGGTTAGCTGTTCTTACCA